CGATTTTACTCTTAACCCTTTAACGCTCGTGTCTTACACGTGTGCGACTAATCCTCCACAAAGAACAATTTTGTTCATCTTCTATTCTATTAAAAAAATCTAACTTATGGGAAACTTATTTTTATGCGACTAGGAAATTAAAACAAAATGAAATTGTTCGGTTTTGGAATACTAAGTTGAGAAAAATGGGAGCGTTAAGGGGTTAAAGACTTTATATATAATAATTTTCGTTACTATATGAACCTAAACAATAATCTTTTGATATAATGACAAGGAAATATAAACTTGATGACAGTAAAAATTATTAAAATAGTAAGAAAGCAATGGGTCAAAAATGACCCGAAGACCGCACTAGGGTTAAAGCTTTCAATAATATTTCACAAAAATTCATCGTCCATGAAACACTTAAAGAAAATAAACATTAACATTCCACAAAACATTCGTCCAATTTCCACAAGATTCCTCTAATTCGTCTCACACATACAAATCCTCCAATAAGAACAATTTTTCAAAATTATTTTCCTTCATTCTCATTCCATCAAAAAGCTAAGTTACAGCGTCACAAATAACAGAAAACTCATTTCTACATCTAAAAAACAATTAAAAAAAAAATGGATCTTATCAAATTAACAAAAATGTGAGCATTAAAGGGTTAATCAAAGATCAACCCACCGGTCCAACTTCCAACAGAACACTATATTACACCGTTTTAACATCCAGACAAAGGCAACTCTCGCGAAACGGAGTTGAAAAGCAAAGAATCGCAGCTCACCTAATAAAGGTGGATGATGTCCGGTGTTGCGACTGTGCTACAGCCGTCGCAGAGGTCGATTTCGTGGAACTGCTTTGCTTTATCGCGTCTCCGGATACCTTCTCCTCCTCTATCGCGTCTCCGGATACCTTCTCCACGTTGTTCGCAATCGGAGGCTCGCTCGGAGACGCGTCTTTGCTCGTCGATCCCTGAGATTTCGCGATGTCCTGAGGTTGTTCGGTCGTCGGTGACTTGACCTCGGCCGATTTCTCAGGCGCTGCTGCTGTGCTATCCGGCTCCGAAGCCGGCTGCGCCTTTGGCTCTGCTTTTGGCTGCTCTTCTGTCATGGCTGCGTTTGACTTTGGTTGTTCTTCGCTATATTACACGTTCTTTCTATTAATCTAATGATACGATTCCATTACAATTACAATTATCATGGACACACGGACGGATGTGTGAAGTGGTTAATAAAAGGTTCGAGCGAGAACAGTCGTTGTCGAAGGTACGAGTTAGAATTTCGTCGCTCGTGTTTCGTCGTTGGAACTTGTACATTCTTTTACGGACGATACAGACGAACAAGACTGACAATAGAGAACTCCGAGTACGAGTACTCTGTTCTACGTGCAAATTAAATTGACCGCTCAAGACAGCTTGCTTGTGCAATTCTGGAGGACCTCGCGAGTCGCTCTCTTCTTTTGCTGTTCTATTGTACGCTTTAACTGTCTTTATGTATACACTAGTGTGCAAAAGTTTGGAGTAATTTTGTAGGGATTTTAATCGGTGTAGAATTGAACTCTGAGAATTTACTTGTCAACATTGTTTTACTTGAGAGTTACAGAAACGAAATGAAATATTAGAGAAATGAAATGAAGTGAAATATTTTACTTCGATTTCTCTCAAATTCGCAATTAAACACAAAGTAACCTAACGAACCCAAACTTTTGCATCTCAGTGTATTCACCGTGTGCCTAAAGGTATGTATTTTACCTTACAAACAAACAAGAGTGTAGCTAAAGAGTAGTAAAGTAGTATACAAAAAAGATTAGAGACTAATTTTGAACAGTCGATTTAATTTCGACAGAGAACAAGATTCAAACATAATTTCTTTCGAGACAAACACAGAACATACAGTGCAATATTAACGTCTAAACAGAAGAAGGAGTGATACGCCAAGAGAACAATCACAATGAGATGACTACAAATGAACGAGAAGAAGAACCTGAAAATACAAATTGGATCAATGAAAAATACCTTGGCGACGGATGAGCCGTTTCTGGTTCTTGACTAGCTGATACCTTCGTTTCTTCAGGCTCGTTCGATAGATTTGTAGCTGTCTCCTCGAGAACGTAGACCACATCGACGGCCACATCAGTCACGTAATGCAGTTGTTCCTGAGCTCTGTCGATCCTGAAGAATCGTTCCGCTGTGCAGGCTGAAAAATCGATTCCCATTGATAGAGAGCTAGCGCGATATAGAGATAGATAGATGTGTAATTGAAATGGTAAGTTAAACTGTTAGATTGTTATGTAGGCGGTAATGCTCACAATCGAGGAAGCAACAAGTGTCCATGTTATGGTCTTTCGCCAAAAACTTCCTGAGGAATTCTAGATCCGTGGTGGCGTCGAGATCAAGTGGATCTGTTATCCAGGTAATCGCCGCTTTCTTCAACATATCCTTGTCGTGATGATACCTCTCGTAATCCGACATCTTGATCTTCATCACAGGCAGTTTTAACCGCTCTAGTTTAACGTCAGGCTGTGGTTTGCTCGCGTTTCTTCGTTTCGCCAGCATCGTTGCTTTGTTTAGTAGTTTTAGGTCTATTATCGATGGCAGCAGTCGACAAGCCTCTCCGTCGACCTGAAATTTCGATCGTCGTTTTTTTGTAAATAATTAGGTGTCATTTGAGGGGAATTTAATTAACGAAAAAATGAAATATTTAAAATTGATATTTTACATTTTATATTTGAAAAATATTTTAATGAAAATATTTGATATTTAATATTTTTAAGGTATTTAAAGTATTTCAATGAAAATATTTTACATTTTATATTTGAAAAATATTTTAATGAAAATATTTGATATTTAATATTTTTAAGGTATTTAAAGTATTTCAATGAAAATATTTTACATTTTATATTTGAAAAATATTTTAATGAAAATATTTGATATTTAATATTTTTAAGGTATTTAAAGTATTTCAATGAAAATATTTTACATTTTATATTTGAAAAATATTTTAATGAAAATATTTGATATTTAATATTTTTAAGGTATTTAAAGTATTTCAATGAAAATATTTTACATTTTATATTTGAAAAATATTTTAATGAAAATATTTGATATTTAATATTTTTAAGGTATTTAAAGTATTTCAATGAAAATATTTTACATTTTATATTTGAAAAATATTTTAATGAAAATATTTGATATTTAATATTTTTAAGGTATTTAAAGTATTTCAATGAAAATATTTTACATTTTATATTTGAAAAATATTTTAATGAAAATATTTGATATTTAATATTTTTAAGGTATTTAAAGTATTTCAATGAAAATATTTTACATTTTATATTTGAAAAATATTTTAATGAAAATATTTGATATTTAATATTTTTAAGGTATTTAAAGTATTTCAATGAAAATATTTTACATTTTATATTTGAAAAATATTTTAATGAAAATATTTGATATTTAATATTTTTAAGGTATTTAAAGTATTTCAATGAAAATATTTTACATTTTATATTTGAAAAATATTTTAATGAAAATATTTGATATTTAATATTTTTAAGGTATTTAAAGTATTTCAATGAAAATATTTTACATTTTATATTTGAAAAATATTTTAATGAAAATATTTGATATTTAATATTTTTAAGGTATTTAAAGTATTTCAATGAAAATATTTTACATTTTATATTTGAAAAATATTTTAATGAAAATATTTGATATTTAATATTTTTAAGGTATTTAAAGTATTTCAATGAAAATATTTTACATTTTATATTTGAAAAATATTTTAATGAAAATATTTGATATTTAATATTTTTAAGGTATTTAAAGTATTTCAATGAAAATATTTTACATTTTATATTTGAAAAATATTTTAATGAAAATATTTGATATTTAATATTTTTAAGGTATTTAAAGTATTTCAATGAAAATATTTTACATTTTATATTTGAAAAATATTTTAATGAAAATATTTGATATTTAATATTTTTAAGGTATTTAAAGTATTTCAATGAAAATATTTTACATTTTATATTTGAAAAATATTTTAATGAAAATATTTGATATTTAATATTTTTAAGGTATTTAAAGTATTTCAATGAAAATATTTTACATTTTATATTTGAAAAATATTTTAATGAAAATATTTGATATTTAATATTTTTAAGGTATTTAAAGTATTTCAATGAAAATATTTTACATTTTATATTTGAAAAATATTTTAATGAAAATATTTGATATTTAATATTTTTAAGGTATTTAAAGTATTTCAATGAAAATATTTTACATTTTATATTTGAAAAATATTTTAATGAAAATATTTGATATTTAATATTTTTAAGGTATTTAAAGTATTTCAATGAAAATATTTTACATTTTATATTTGAAAAATATTTTAATGAAAATATTTGATATTTAATATTTTTAAGGTATTTAAAGTATTTCAATGAAAATATTTTACATTTTATATTTGAAAAATATTTTAATGAAAATATTTGATATTTAATATTTTTAAGGTATTTAAAGTATTTCAATGAAAATATTTTACATTTTATATTTGAAAAATATTTTAATGAAAATATTTGATATTTAATATTTTTAAGGTATTTAAAGTATTTCAATGAAAATATTTTACATTTTATATTTGAAAAATATTTTAATGAAAATATTTGATATTTAATATTTTTAAGGTATTTAAAGTATTTCAATGAAAATATTTTACATTTTATATTTGAAAAATATTTTAATGAAAATATTTGATATTTAATATTTTTAAGGTATTTAAAGTATTTCAATGAAAATATTTTACATTTTATATTTGAAAAATATTTTAATGAAAATATTTGATATTTAATATTTTTAAGGTATTTAAAGTATTTCAATGAAAATATTTTACATTTTATATTTGAAAAATATTTTAATGAAAATATTTGATATTTAATATTTTTAAGGTATTTAAAGTATTTCAATGAAAATATTTTACATTTTATATTTGAAAAATATTTTAATGAAAATATTTGATATTTAATATTTTTAAGGTATTTAAAGTATTTCAATGAAAATATTTTACATTTTATATTTGAAAAATATTTTAATGAAAATATTTGATATTTAATATTTTTAAGGTATTTAAAGTATTTCAATGAAAATATTTTACATTTTATATTTGAAAAATATTTTAATGAAAATATTTGATATTTAATATTTTTAAGGTATTTAAAGTATTTCAATGAAAATATTTTACATTTTATATTTTTAAAATATTTAAAACATTTTAATGAAAATATTCTATTAAAATTTAATTTCATATATTTTCAGTAGTTATAGCTTTCAATAGGTGATATAATTTGTTCATTTATCATAAGCCACTTAACAACTCGTTTATTCAATGCGTTTCTTTTTTCTAACTCCTTCTGCTGCAATACGAGTTCCTGCTTGACTGTTTGACATCATCAAACTGCTTCATCATACTATTTAACGAGCCTATATCGCAATCCAACATATCGTTTTACCGTGTTTCGTAATAACATACATAAATAGGAAACAGATAATTTTCTAATAAAAAGATAAAATACAGGTAAAGATCTAAGTATAGAAGAGTAAGAAAAAACGAACATAACAGATCATATGAATCATAATAAAAATCACTTGTTAAAGACAAAAAAGGCAGTAACAAGATGTGACGATTTTCAAAGAGTTATTAATTAGAATGAAAAACACCTTCATTTAAAAAAAAGTAATTGCACAGTGCAATTTATGAATTATTCAATTACTATTTCATAAATAACATTTTCCAAGTGGCCTCCTCGACAGAAAACACATTTTTGCAAAGGGATCGGAAAATTCTTCATTACTCGTTGCAATCGAGGCGCGTAGATTGCTCAAATTTCATCAATTATCTTTTGTTTCAACTCTACGATGTTGAGTGGTTCATGACACACACTTTAAACTTTCGGTAGCTCCGCAGAAAATATCATTTTCAAAAAATAATTAATAAGTGATAAATTACATTGTACCAGCGATTTTTAATCTTTTTCATCTCACGATACAGATGAATTAATCACTAAAATTGTACGGTGCACACAAACTAATTACTAAAATTGTACGACATACCGAAAAATATATTACACTTTTTCCTGGATCTGACAAAAAACAGTATACACTTCTTATTGTGCAAAAAAGAATATTCTTTTGTCGATGTGACAAAAAAGTATACACTTCTAATTGTACAAAAAAAGTATACACTTCCGACTGTATAATAAAAGTATACACTTCCGACTGTACAATAAAAGTATACACTTCCGATTGTACAATAAAAGTATACACTTCCGATTGTACAATAAAAATGTGCACTTCTGATTGTACAATAGAAGTGTATACTTCCGATTGTACAATAAAAGTATACACTTCTGATTGTACAAAAAAAAGTAATATAATTTCGTCGACCTAACAAGAAAAGGTATACACTTCTGATCGTGTAAGAAAGAATATTTTTTCGTCGATCTGACAAAACAAAGAATACACTTCTGATTGTACAAAAATAATAATACTTTTTCCGTTACATTTTCAACTTTCTTAACACGTCTCAAAAAATCTTGGACACACCTGTATACCTCTCGTGTCACACCAATTAAAAATTGTATTACTCAATTATTTCTTCAACAAGTTGTTTTATTTCAATTTAATCCGAGTATCAACAGCTCGAATACAAACAGCTCTTCGAAAATCGACGAATTTAATTGCAGTAAGCTACTACAGTCGAACTAAAAAAATATTTAAAAAATTCACCTGCATTGGAATGGTCCTCGTGGTAACCAGCTTAGCCGTGCTGCATTGAGCAATACAGGTACCGTGTCCACCTGCTTGAAGAAGCGGAAGCTGGTATGTCGTCAAACCGACGACTTCGATCAGCCCGTCGTCTGTCGATGGTTCCTTGGTTCCGCTTCCAGCGCCCCAAGGATGCGTTCCACCTCCGTACGAGGCAATGTTCAAGAATACTATAGCGTGAACACGATGCTCCTTCAGCTTCGGTGTCAGATCGTTCCCGTCGCATTCCAGCGTCACGAATTCTGAGAGATCCTTCCATTTTCGCCGCACCAGATCCTTACCGCCCATTTGACCGTAAAACATCTTGTTTCGCAGTCGGGAATTGAATCTCTCCGGATGCGCCTCTGCAAATCCAATTCAACTC